TCTCAGTAATAATCTGAGTTATATGTTCGAATATTTCTTTGTACAATTTTGCTCTTCTATAGGGCATCATATTTATAATATCTGCGTATCCATTTTTAACAATCTTTTGACTGATTGGTAAAAATATTGGTTTGTAAGTTCCATTTTAATAACATGGAATGATGGATGCATATGTTCAAGAACTGGATCCCATTCCATTGTTGCTGAATGGAATCTGATGTATATGTTTATTGTCTTGACAACTCCAATATATCTTTTTACAGCTTTCCTGACGTTGGTTGGAAGTTGGGCTATTTCTTTGAGATCTTTGCTGAGATATATACAGAGTATATTTCCTATCTCAAAACAGTTTCGTACCCAGTTGGCTAGTGCTCCTGGATAAAAGTTTATCTTATTGTATTTTGCATAGTGAAGAGTTTTTATCCACTTTCCTACTTCCAGATACCAATCTGATAAAACATTAAAAATAATAATAAAGAATATGACTTCTTCATGATTATCTTTTCTGGGAAATTTTGTCTCATGGCATATTTTGACAATATCTTTTGGATTCTTTCAATAGAAAGTTTAGATTTAATTTGGTTTTGTGAAGAGTCACCTTCACTTTTGATATTTTGAATATCTTCCCTAGTGGGAATTTTGATATCTTCATTACCAGTAATAGGCTTAAGTATTCCCAGTGAAGGGGTTCCTATTACCTTTTTCTCTTTTCCTTTATCCTCGGGGAAAGCGCTAGTATTAACTGGTCCCTGTGAAGGGATACTAGACTTGGTACAAGTTACTTCTACTTCAAGGGCTATATTTTTGCCTTGAAAACTATCTTGGATATTTTGAATTTGTGTTTCCAAATAGGAAACTTTTATCTCGAGTATTTGGACTTTCGTCTTTAGTTGCTCTAGCTCCATCCCTGCCGAGATAATCAGGAAGAAAGTTAGTTTTACCTCTTATGTATTCAATATCAAATTTGAAGTATGAAAACCAAATTTGTATCCTGATAATATATCTATTGGCAATAGATGGATCAACATTATTTTTCAAAAAAGCTTTAACTTGAGTATTATCAGTTCTAATCAAGAACTTTTTTGGTAATAAATAATTTTCATATTTTTGAACTCCCCTTTTTACAGCAATGAGTTCTTTCCTGTTCGTCTCATATCTCGTTTCAACTTTTTTGAATGTTTCTGATATATAACCTGCAAGTATCTCAGGAAAAGAACAATTCTTTTCACATTTATATTTCTTATGATTCTTTTTAACCTTTAATACTGCTCCCCAGTAATTATTTGAAGCATCAATTTCAAGGATAAAAAAATCTTCTTCTTGTGGAATTATAAGTTTGGGTAATACCTTTAATTTTTCTTTTACCTTTCTTATATTTTCACAATTTTATTTTTCCCAAGGCCACATTATATTTTTTTCTTAGCTTTGGAAGAAAATAACTTTTTAGTTTGGCACAATTTTCAATGAATTCATTGACTGTATCTCTTAATTCTTTTAGTTGATTATCTCTGCTTGTTTCAACTTCATTTTCTTCTTTCCATTTGAATTTTGGAATTTGTTTTTTATTTAAAGATGAACTTCTTATTAGAAGCGGTCTTTGTTCTTTAATTAAAGGTCTTTGGTCATCAAGATTAATTTCCAAAGATTTTCTGGATGGTTGAATTAACCATTCAAATTCTATTTTCTGTCTGTATACACATTTGCCTCACTTTGATAAATCATTTTGGACTCTCTTCCCTGAACGGCCACCTGTCTGACGGTACTTTAGTCCCATTGATTCTGTAAAGCTCCGTACATGGTTTGTATATAGAACTTAAAAGTATTCTTTTCAAAATTGCAAAGAATTTTTAGTCCATCATTTTGGATAATTTTTCCCGTTTTGCTTGTAATCAAGATGAAATCAGTTGAATAATTTATCTTGATTTTAGACTCATTGTTGAAAGATTTTAATCCCGTTAAAATCCTCTGGTACGAAAGATTTCTCCAATCTCTGAGAATCATCTCATTAGTGGCTTCAACCTTTCCTTGAATTGGTTTTTCCAGAAAGATCTCTGGCATCGTCTTGATTTGGATATGATGATATCCTTTGATAAGATATCCTTCCTTATCCCAGAAAGGAATTATACTGTTAATCTTCAACATCATCTGTAGATTTTGGTCTTTAATAACAATTCTTTTAAAGTCTTTTAAAACTTTAACTAAATTGCTGTCCAATTTCTGGATTTCATTCATTGATTCACTTAGAATAATCATTTTGATTAAACCACATTGAAATGCTGTCTGCACCATTTCTGGATCTGCGCCTTCAATATTTTTTATCAATTGTTCCATAATATCCTTTTTCAGGGACAGATGGTCCAACTATTCTTGCTTCTGTATCACTTGGATCTTCTACTGGGTAGAAGCCTTGTTTTTGAAATGTAGTAAGGAGTTTAATCCTTTCTTCATTTCCTTGTTTTGTTGGGCATTCATTTGCATAATGTCCAGATTCGTTATAGAGCTAACATCTGCAATTCTTTTTCTTTTGTGGACAAAATTTCTTTTTATCCATTGTTTTATTTTTGTATTCCCTTCCCCGGGATTTTTTAAAAAAAAAAATTCTTTTTGAAAAATTTTTCTTTGTATGGTTTTTTATATCTTTTAAAAGTATATTTTTTCTTTTTAAAAGATTTTCTTTTCTTTTCTTTTCTTTTTTTTTTTTGGATGGTAAACATCGATATTGTCTTAGAATTCTGCTGAGATAATTTTCACAATAGAGTTTTGGATTTTTATAAATTGCTTGTTTACTGTCTCTTACTAAAATACTTTCTTCGCACTTGTCTGCAATAAGATTTCTAGTAACATATGAATCCCGCTGTTGTAGTTCAATCACAGAATTAAGTGCAAAAATGAAAACAGAAACCATGACACAAGGAGTCACTTGGAAAGCATAATTGTATTTCGGAAAAATGTAGTTAGTACTCTAATGAAGAAGCTCTAACAGATGAGAATTACAGCAACTATGTAAACTCTCTGTATCTCTGTTTTGCTGAAACTATAAAAGATAGTTGGGTATTCGAGAGACCCAATACTCTCCCCTAGAATCCTAGATCCTTCTCGATATTTTGCATATCCCCCCACCCCCCCAAAAAAAGAGGGAAAAAAACAACAATTTATAGGTAACAACCTATAAAACTTATTGTATGAATCTCCACACTACCCTGCTCCTAACTGAATGTGCTTCTCAATTATTCTGGATCCTTCTAAGCTCTATAGATTTGATAGGAGTCTATCAGGGCGGCATAGGAACTTTAACTTTTTGCATCTATATTTGGATCTTCAACTTTCACTTCTACCTTTCAGCAGCAAAAATTTGAGAAGGGGAGCAATTAATGGTCTTGTACCAAAAGCTGTCAGTATAGACAATGAGGTATTGACCTTATCTCCATCTGATGATGAAAGCTAACCTGGTTCAAGATTTGTGGTTGCAGTGAAATATCCAAACAGGGAGAAATCAGAATATTTGATTCAAGATCTATGGTTGGATTAGTATTTTCTCATTGCCGTACCTATTTCCAGTGGCTGTTTTTGTGGAAGGGTGTTAATGGTGGAGGAGGTCATGGTTGCTGGTGAGCTGGTGGTTCGATTTCGACTTTGAGGATAGAAATGAAGGGAAAAAAAGGAAGTACCTTAGTGTAACTCCGGTGGAGGCAGGGGGTCAATTTTTATTTTCTGGTTTTTCTATTTAATTATTTAATTAGCTAATTGTTTTAAGTTTGAAAATATAAAGTTCCTATGTTGCCCCTTGTAAAATTGGTTAGAATTTGGTCAAAGATTAGATTTTTAGTCAACTAATGGCATTTGGATGTAATGCATCCTTGCCCTTCATCTGCAATGGTCATTAAAGGTTTGGAACCCCAGTTACCAAAATGAAAAGTTTCGGTATATTCTGCAACGTTTGAAAGGTTTGGAACCCAGATGCAATTCTCCATATAATTTAAACCGTTTAGAAACAATTCCAAACACGTTTTTAATCTCCAAATGAGAATTTCAAAATGTTTGCTATAGAAACCGTTTTTGCAATTTGAAAACTCTCTCTCTCATATCAAAAACTTGTGTTTCCACATCTCAATAATAATAGTATTATACTTTGTAATTATCTACATGTGTTTACAACACTTCACAAGAGAAAATAAGAACCTCATGAAAAATAGTTCTATTTATTATATGCTGGTTCATAATCTCCTTCCCTGTCTCACCCACAATAAATTATATCAATTAACATAAATCAACAAGAACACACTCCACCTAGTCCACAAAGTAAGAAGAACCAAAAAAGAGGGGGGGGGGGGGGGGAGAAAAAAAAAAAAAAAAAAAAAAGGGAAAAATAA